GTGGATCATAACAAACCATGGCTGACTCTGAGAAGAATGGGAATCCCAGAACACTTGATCATGCTAATGTGAAACCTATACTTGGACCAGTAGGCAGTCGTCAGAACAGAGCAAGGGAACACTGCATCGTTCAAAATTGGGAAGGGCATACGCCAGGGATGCATCCTATCTCCATACCTTTTCAACCTATATGCAGAACAGGTTATCCAGGAGGCTGGGTGGGCTCTATGAGGAGAAATGTGGGGTCAAGATTGGTGGACAATTTATCAATAATCTGCGTTATGCAGATGACACAACCCTGCTTGCTGAAACTGAAGAGGACCTGAAGCACCTCCTGCAGAGGGTCAAGGACTGCAGCCTCCAATATGAATTGAGGCTCAATGTCAAGAAGACAAAGATTCTCACCACTGGACCAATTGACAGCATCAGGGTGATGGTGAAGAGATTGAGATTGTACACAGCTTTAGTTTGCTTGGCTCCACAGTCAACACTCTTGGCACCAGTAGCCAGGAAATTAAAAGGCGCATTGCCACGGGTAAGTCTGCTGTTAGGGACCTCTCCAGAGTACTGAAGAGCAATGGTGTCTCTCTGGAGACTAAAGTGCATTTGATACAGGCCATGGTCTTCACAGCATCAGAGAGTTGGACAATGACCAAGGAGGATAGGAGGAGAATTGATGCCTTTGAGCTGTGGTGCTGGAGAACAGTATTGAGGATACCAAGGACTGCTAGGAAAATAAACAGATTCGTCCTGGAAAGGATTAAACTGGGTGGCTCCTTGGAGGCAAGGATTCTTAGGCTCTGTCTAACATACTTTGGACATGTTGTGAGGAGAGACCGGTCCTTGGAGAAGGACATCATGCTTTGGGAGGGTGGAGGAATGGTGCAGGAGGGGAAGGCTCTCTATGAGGTGGATTGATTCACCGACTGGGGTAATTGGGATGGGATTGTCAGAGACAGTGCAATTGGCACAGGACAGAGCAGAGTTTAGGGCTGTTGTATATAGGGTCGCTATGAGTCACAAGCAACTCGACGGCACATAACAACAACAGTCGACTGCTAGTGGTACTTTGTTAAGAAAGCCTTGGGGTGTCCACACAGCGAGAAGATATACAAGATACCTAGACAGAAGACCCACACAAGGAGGTGTAGGACAGAATTGAAAGCACTTCAGCATGACTGGGGAACTGGATGTCAGGGGAGAATACTGATCAGCAAAAGAAAAGATAAAGGAAAGGTCTGTTTTGCTTAATGGGATTTTGTTCCTTGAAGGAAAGGCGATTATTTTATGATGGTAGATGTTGTGAGATGTGCTTATCTCAGTACAAGGAGAAAATTAATTTGGATGTAGTATATGGGATAGAGAAAAATTACTAGAGTCAGGTAAATTATTGAGGAGAACCTCTGGTGGCCTGAGTAAGAAGCTGTTTTGCAATCTCAAAGGCACATGGTTCAAATCCACCAACTGCTCAGTGGGAGAAGGGTGGGCAATCTTTTCCCATGGAATTTCCTGCCTCTGAAAACTTGCAAGAGGGTCAGTTCAGACTCAACAGCACACAACAACAGCAGAAATTATGGAAGCACTGGTGATCTAGTGGTAAGGAGTCACGCTGACACCCAAAATATGTGGTTCAAGTCCACCAGGTGCTTAACTGAGGTAGCGATTGAAGGTTTGGAATAGAAAGACAAGTGAAAAAAATTTATTCTCACAAATTGCTAAGCAAGTTTCAATTTATTCTATGGAATCAGTCTCTAGAATGAAATAAAGTCTAAATAATTTTTAGGAATCTCCCTAAATGTCTATAGGTAATAAACTTTATAAAATTATTATACTGCTATATGATCCTTGGCATATTAAAGTGAAGCTTTCTGAATGTCAAGTTTGGGCTATTTAACATAATTTACTTCTAAAACAGACCTCAGGGATGACAGTGATTTTAAAGGAGAAAGTGAGAATCCAATTCCAATTCTCATTATTTGACTAATAGTACAGTTTGAGAATAAAATTGCAGAAAACTATTCTCAGTTTGTCAAAGGGAAAATAAACAGTGGTGAGTGTAGCTACAAAGGCATGTTTTCTTTCATTCTTTCCATATCCAACTTAAAAAGCAAACCAAGGAACCTTTACTACTGCCAAGTCACTGTATCTAATAGTGAACTTCTGTCGAGTTTCAGAGGCTGTATATTTTTAAGAGAGGAGACTGCCTATCTTTCTTCTTTTGATAATTTTGTGCATTTAAACTGTAACCTTTTGATTAGCAGGCCTTCCTTCGTGTAGTGCACTATATCACCAGGGCTTGCCAGATCTTCAAACCATGACTGATTCACCTCACAATTCCATTTTATAATTAGTTGTATTGAGTTAGTAATTTGAAATTACATACTTGTTTTCACTTTATAGTACCAACAGTACTTAATGTTATTGCTAGTTGAATTTTATAGATTTTGTTTTATTTTACAAACCCCAGGTTACGGCTTAAACTATATTTTCTTTATATATCACTTATTTACAAATGACACTTAGATCTTTAGGAAATGGATTTTAAAGTCATGTTTCTTCTACAGAGGAAAGCCCATTTTGTTTATTATTATTGTATGGTTATTTGTGTTCAAGGAAAGGTGCACAAAGTTAAAAAGAAATCAAGCACTTTTCTCATCTCATGCTCCCTTATACTGTTGAAAGCTATAATTTTTAGGTCTTAACGTTTGAGCCCTTTCAAGAAATTTTGTTGAAGAAAGTGGTAAAATAGATTCATATTTTCAAAGTGCTTAAATCTATATATTTAGGGAGAAAACTAGAGGAAGAGATGTTGTTATTTTATCAGGCTTCAGTTTCAGCCCAAACTGGTTGATAGATCCTTTTGAAATTATCCATTATCATCAAAGTATCCATTTGATAGTTTACCTTTCCAAAAATCCACTGCTGGTTTCTTCCTTTCAAAGGAACACTAAGCTTTTTGACATGAAACATTCTTTATATAGAAAACATCATTAGTGAATTCCTGGTGAGGAGCCATATGCCCCATATGTGGAATTTTCCATTTTATTCCCCATTTACTGGTAGGAAATTTCAGGTCTAATATTCTGAGGTACAACAATCCCTTTCATTAGAAGAGTAATGGACAAGTAGTTCAGGACCCTACTGTGGTAATTAACATGATGTTACTGTTTCAAAACTTATTTATGCCTCAGTTTCCTCACATAGAAAACAGGCAGATAACAAGATATAACAAAATAGTTGATTGCTTACACAAGCTAAGAGGCATTTTTTATTCCCACTGAAAAGTAAATAACATCCCCACTGGATAGCGAACATAGATCAGTAGTGATTAATTTCACACCACACGATGTAAAACCAAAAATACAAGAGGGGTTTGCTTAGACATTGTAATACGTTAATTGCATCAGGTAATGGTAATTATTGCTATGAATATTTGTCTGAAAAAATAAATGACATTTGTAAACTTTCACTCAAACAGAATCTACTTTTCTTAGTCAAGTAAATTACATTATCTAAAGCTAGCTGATAACTATTGATATCAGCTGGTGTGTATACATTTAGGACTTTTCCCTATGCACATATACTAATTTACTTATAGACATGAATGGCATTTTGTGTGTGCTTCTTATACTTATAGCATAATTTCAAAATTCTAGTTTTGACTTAGTTCCACTTTGATTTAGTTCCAATTTATGGTGATCCCATATTTTTCTGAGTAAGCCTGTGCTCCATGAAGTTTTCACTGGTTGATTTGGCTGAAGGAGTTGCTAGATCTTTTTTCTTTTTCTTCATTTTTTCTGAGGAATTTGTGGGTAGACTTGAGCCACAGACAGCAGCTGAGAATTCTGAGTAGCCTTACATCATTCAGGGACACAATCTAAAAATGTTCTGTCAATTAAATATATTTCTAAACTGTCACTTTTTAATTATTTATATTTTAAACCGATGTGTGAACTTCAACAACATGAACATATCTGAATTTACTTAGCAATTTAGATGCCCCAACCCATGGCCATTTAGATTGCCCTCAGCATTTTGCCTCAAACAGTGCATCAGTAAACATCTTGAAACATGCTTCTTTGTGTAATTGTAGACATTTTTTTTTTCACTTTTCTGGCATGTTGTTATTGTTATGTGCTGTCGAGTCCACTACAACTCATAGCCAGCATATGCACAATAGCTCTGAACTCTGCTCTATCCTGAGCCAATCTCTGTCTCTGACACACCCACCTCCATTACCCCAGTCACTGTGTCAATCCATCTCCTCCAGGATCTTCTTCTTCTGCACAGTCCCTCCCTCCACTCTTTCAAGCATAGGTAGTGAAAATGCAACTGCTGGGTTGCTTTGTCAAGGGAAATTTACATTTTAAATTTAGTAGACATTGCCAATCAGCCTAAAAGACAAGGGTCATAATTTATATTCCCCACCATATTTCAGAGTATATCACTTCACTATGTATTGGCCAAAATCCTTGTTCTTCACACTACAGTTCAACATTCATTTACTAAGTAAAAACTTTCTTGATGTGCTCAATGAGTTGTAATCTCTCCCCGCCCTGATTAATCTAGATAGTCTGATCCTATTCTCTTTATTACCATTACTTTTCATATTCCAATATTCTTGTTAGTAAAGTCTTCAAGGTAGGGAATAATTACTCAACCCCAGCACTCATCACAGTGCTTTCTATGTAGTAGGCACTCCACAAATATCTGTGTGAATGTCTAATTTTGGAGGAATTTCATAGGCAAATAGAAATATTTTTCCGTACAAAAGAAAATTTTAAATGGTTTGAAGAACTGAATATTTTTAAATTTACAAGGGTTAATGTAAATTTATCTTAGAAGGTAACCTGTAGATCAAGGAAGACCGGGGATCACAAGCTTAGGCTACTTTTTAAATTTTTTACTCTTTCCTTTCAAGAAATAGGAAAGCATTCATTTCAATATACCACACAAAAATTCTTCCCCCCATTATAGATAGATTGCTTTTTTCCCATTACCTTGAGGGGCTGCCTGCAGTGTCTGACCTAGAAAAGGCTCACTTGAAGTACAGCCAGCAGATGTACAAGCTGTAATTGTGAAGCTGTAGTTGCTGTACGGCTGGAGATCTAGAAACCACAAGCAAGAAATAAAGCAGAGCTTGAGAGGATTATTTATTATCAATTAAGTACCAGAAGTAACATGTAGAGTTGTAGAACTTACAGTAAAAACAAAAAACAAACCAAAAAAACCCCAAAACCAAGCAACCAAAAATAACAGCAGAAAATATTCTTTCATAAAGATAGGAATTAGTTTAAAATCTATAGTATTATTAAAATTAATATAGATGCCTTTCCCCCCCACTGATAAAAAAGAATAAACTTTCAGTATTAGAATGGTCTTGTAAGTCATCTCTCTATCTCAGTCTTTGATTCTCCTGCCCCCGTTGACATTGTAGAGGATGTCCCAGCTATGTGGTCTGGAGCATGCCTCCCAAAGAGCCATCTTCGGAGGACTCTTAAGTTCTCTTTCTATTTGAAAGTCCTTCTTTATATTGTGGTGAAATCTTTCTATTGCTTCTCTCTCTCGGGACATACTGAACAAATCTAATTTCTTTTCCACATGACAGTTCTTCAAATATTTGTACACATTTATCAAATCCCTCCTGAGTCTTCTCCAAACTAACCATCTCAGTAACTGAACTGCTTTTTGTATAAATTGGGACAGAAAAATAAAGCAAAGGTTAGATTTAATGTATTTTTTTCAGTCCTAAGATATATTCAGCTGAATGCTTTTTTAAAAAATTCTGAACTTATTCATCTTGACTGCCCATAACTGTACCATCTCATGCTTACTTCTGTAGTTTTGGGGGTATGTTAGTTTTATCTTTACACATACATGAGTCACAATTTAATGAATGAATAAAGTTTTCTTTTTATTATAACTATGATGTATCTAAGCAACTGCTCAATAAGTTCTCAGGAAAAGAAAGAACTTAATGCATCTAGAAAAAAAGCTGTACATGTATAACTTCACCACTCTGGCTGGTGTCTTGAGTAAGTTTACTTAGATACTCTCTTCTTTGATGTAGCCAGTGTCATAGAATTGGCTCTGACTCATGGTAAACCCCTGTATATCAGAGTAATGCAGTGGTCCATGGGGTTTTCAATGGTTGATAGACCTTTGTTCTGAGGTGCCTCCAGGTGGACTCAGCCTCCTGCTTGTTTAGAAGCTAAAGGTGTTAACTGTTTGGTTTTTGAAAATTTTAGTTTGGTTTCTTCCCACCAATTCACATTGTATTTCTTATGGTCATTCCCATAAATTATGTTTTATAAAATTAATCTCTACTGATCTATCTAGTAGTCCTACTATTACTCCCATCTTTTTAGATCTCCATTGTATTAGGAAAATTCCTTCACTCCTGACCTCCACTCACCAGACTCTGTGACCCTGTGATTTCTCCTCCTCCTCTGCTCCCTCCCCTTCCCTCTTTGGACCTATACATATCTTACTAGTTATCCTTCTGTTCTTACAATAAATGGTTTTTTATATTATAGAGATGATGGCTTGTTAATAGGAAATCACTATAACATTTCACTTCATAGGCTGTTAATTTTATGTTTTTAAAAAGTAAGCTATAGTCTATGTTGAAATGATGTCAAATAATTGGGTCAAGTCATAACCTATCCTATTTCTATTGTTGTAAATCTGACTCATAGAAACCCTGTAGATAGAATAGAACTGCCCAGTAGGGTTTCTGAAGCTATAAATCTTTACCTGAGGGGACTGGTTCATTTTTCTTCTGTGGAGTAACAGATAGGTTCGGAGTCCTCAAGTCAAGAAAGAGATTAAAAAAAATACTTGTTTGCTATGAATTTTGAACTTCATTTTCACATCTTTGTTCTTTTAGTAGGCTGACTCTTTCTTTGATTTTATGCTTGTTTCCCCTCAAATGCTACATTTTCAAACTTTTTGTCCCCACAGATGGCTTTAATTTCTTATTTATTTTAAAAGTATTTAAAAAAAATCCATTTTCATTCTATTGTTCATATATACTTTGTCTTATAACGTCATATACACTTGTACAATACCATTATTCACCTTGTCAAGTAAAAATTTCATCATATTCTCCATTTCCCTTCATTCCACCCAAATATTTGCTAATCACTATTCATTATTCCTCCCCTCCAGGGGTGTAAACCAAATTCCCATCAACAAATGAATGGATAAATTGTGGTACATTCAGACAATGGAGTATTACACAGCATTGAAAAACAATGAACTCACAAAAAACTATACAGCATGGATAAGTCTAGAGGACATTATGCTGAGTGAAATAACTCAGTCACAAAAGGACAAATACTGTAAAAGACCACTGTCATAAAATTAAGACGGTTATGGGACACTGAGTGGCGTTGGGGAAAGAAAGAAAAGAAGGGGTAGCTAATGAACACTGTATTGGAATAGGTGAAGGGGATGATTTAATAAGTGAATGTATGATCAGACATTATGTGTACTGCAATTAACAATCTGAAATAGGGCATGCATTACTGGCTGAATAGGGAGAGATGGAAAAAGATTAAAGAAAGGTTCATACACAGAAAATTTTCAAAGATTTTGAAGACCCTGTCTACAGCACTATGTCCATCATTCTTTGTCCCCTCAATCTACTTTGCTCTTTCATAGCTTTACATGTTTTACTATGTATCTATTATTTTTATTTCAACTAATATATTGCATGTTCCAAAAGAAAGTAAAGACTGTTTTGCCTATCATTTTATTCCTGAGACAGTGACTGTCACGAAGTAGATGCTTAATAAATTGCTACAAAATGCCACATTAATGAACTCTTCCATTCAAAACTAAGGGAATGATCTGGGTCCTTGCTAAAGTAATAATGTTCTGCAGCTGGAGCTGCTCCAAGATTCAGCTTCAGAGCCCTTTGTATTTTCTTATCAATGTGGTGATAAGATGCAGGTACTTATTTGATTATAATCTGCCATGTAGTTGCTATGAAGGATTTACATAATTTTGATATTTATATGATTTATAGAGGAGGACTATGATGAAAGATCTAAGCTATACCTAAGACATACACGTTTGATAAAGGATTATGGGAAAATGCTACAGATTATAAAATATAGAACTTAGAAAAAAATAGAAAGGAACATCCAGTATGAAGATCTGAGGTTGTGTGACAAGCTAATTTAGCCTGCCAATGTCGCCTTACACTTCTAGTGCTGAGAAAAGGGGGACTGGCCCTGTTTCACCATTTCACCTGGTGCATCTTTTACTTTCTCAATTAGAAAATAAATCCCAGGAGAGTAGGGATACTATCTTTTTAACTTATTTTGTTTTATTGCACTTTTCATAATTCCTTTTTGGCATTGTACAATAACATTTGTTAGAAATTGTTTAAAGAAGAGAGAATCCACAAAGTGCTCTAAAACAAACAGGACTGTGGAGTTATGATGTCCCTAAAAAGTGTGACCTTGTTCATCTTTCCATTGATATCCTTGCTGGCAACATGTATTGCATTGAGTAGATTATTTCAAAATATTAAGACTATAATAATAATAATAAAATAAACTTTGTGAGCATTAGGTATTTTCTATATAACTAGCTTATTACCAGCAAAAGTGCAGAGGTATTAATTTTAATAGACTAATAACTAAAATGTTGCTGTTGTTGTTTAATGCCGTCGAGTCGTAGACGACTCATAGCGACCCTATGAACGAACAGCCTAAGAACTGTTCGTACATAGAGTTTCCAGAGGCAAGCCATTTTGGAAGTGGATGCCGCTCCTGCTTCCAGGCTTGATTTAGTCGGGAAGCTCCAGCCAACACTGTCCACCATGGGTGCCCATTACCACAATTGGCACATCACTGTCACAGGCTTCAGCATCACAACAACCACAAGTTACCTCTGTACAGCAACGCACAGACCAGTGCTATACCACCTAGAAGAATGTTTGACAGGAAGACAATTTGAACCTGGCCCTCGGGCCCTTTGGGCTTCAGGCTGCCTCCTGGTTTAAACCCTAGGCCCAGGTTGGCTAGCCTCACTCCAGGGACAGAGCAAACCTGCACGTCAAACACATTCCCGGAAAAGCAGTCCCCTCCAAAAGCTTGCCACGATTCCTGCACTCCCACTACCACGCTCCTGCCTTCTGGCTAGGAGAGCTTCCCACGAGCCTGGGAAGGCGCCAGCCAAACCAGGAACACAATCTATTATGTCTGGTCTAGTGATATGGGATTTAAAAAACCCAAACAATAAACTTTAAAATGAGTGCTTTGATGAAAGAATAGAAATTCATCATCACAGAGATGTTTTGGGTCAATTAGATGCCTGAAAGTATTTGTTATGAAAATAGGAACTAGAAGACAATTTAATGGGTATAAGAATAGAAAATATTATTTCTTTATAGAATCTTTCAGGAAACAAATCAAGTGGCTTCTGTTTTATAGCCAAACCAGAACGTTAAAAGTTAGCTGTTTAGATATGATACAACAGTGGAGCAGTTATCATCTTAGGAAGTTTTGATTGCCTTAGGAAGAAATGTCAGAGGACTTTGTTTTCACTCACTGCTGTTGAATCCATTCTGTCTCATAGTGATAGTTTCTGAGGGTTTCTCCATTGGGTTCTAGGCTGTAAAGACTGCCCATCTTTCTCCTTTCGGGGGCCACTGGTGGATTTGAACTGCTGAAGTTGCAGCATTTGGGTTAGAAGGGCAACTCGTTATGGACGAAGCTACCAGAGATTTCTAAACATTTTTTTAGAAATATTTAAATTGGATGGAGTGCGTTGTCTCAGTGAATTATGGGATCAAAGGAAATATGTATCCAGAAAGGTGTTCAAACTCATGAGCTGTTCCATGGGAGAAAGATGGACAATCTCCTCCAGTGTGATTCACTGCCTCAAAAAACCTGCTGTTCAGACTTAATAAGAACAATGGTACTGCTGCTACAAAAATCAAGAAGAAATGTAGAACACAAAATGAATAGAAATCCTGCACGAGGAAGTTCAAAGAGTTCACAGACATCATCAAAGCAATAGTAGTCAACATGATGAATTAGAGAAATGAGTCAAGGGTTGAAGCGCAAAGATCATAGAAACATGTGGGGTGATA